GGCATTTTGCGATCTGGCAGCTGTTGCTCATATTTGCGTTTACTTCACACTTTTTGTATTACCGGCAAAGCTGTTTGCTCTTTCAAAAGTTCAAAATGTCGCTAATTCGAAAGTATAGTGAAATTTGGAACCATCTGTACATGAATAGTGAACAACTGAGTGAGCAAGTCATCAACTGAGCAAGTGACTCACTTACTAAAAAAGAACAAGTGAACATGTTCACCAAAATGAGCAATGTTTACCCAACACTACTTTGCATTTGCTATTTGCAATCGACTAATTGTGCGCAAACGAAGTGAAATTAATTGCTGTGATTAATTTTATTATCAGGTAAGTGCAGTAATAACTGGGCCGCGCAGTCGTAACCTCAGTCGCCGTCGGCTGAATCATTGCCTTGCTAATTCGGTTCTTGGAAATGCTCGACCCTTCCAATACCCTGCACTCATAAAATAATCATTTTGATTGCGATTCCGAGCCGGAACCAATGAAACTTACGTTATAAGACCCAAATCCAACCGTTCCTTTGCGTTCATCCATTTTAAAAATCATATCATACAAACAACGAATTTGTGCAACTGACAAGCATTTTCTATAGATTTTTAATACGCTTCACATAAGTATGTATGTTACATTTCCTTTTCTAACAATACCAGAACATATTAGAAATGTTACACAATGAAATGAATGAATTCACCTTCTGTACCATTTTCCTGTTGTCCCCCCTTCAGACAATTGCAAAAAATGTTTTCCATTACATTTTGGGTATTATTTACGCATCAAATTTTATGACAAATACTTGAAAAAAGCCCACCCCACAAAACGGATTATATGTGCAATTGGAAATTAAATTAGAGTGAGTTCCTTATGGAGCAATTTCGAATCGTTCTCGTGGCAGGAAAATTGCGTTCTAATCGAAGCGAATGAGCAGGCAACCGCCGCAACTGCATCTCCTTCCTATAGCAGCCATTAAAATGCATCCCTCAAGTGTTTTCTTCTTCTCTTTCGTGAATCGAATTACAACAAAGCGAACAAAAACGAGAAGGAACGCTGTGAGAGGCGGCAAGGGCCGCGGCTCTATCTCAAACAGAGCTCTTCCACAATACGTACGTATTTTGTAAATAATTATACGAAAGCGTCGTAATACCTCCGGCTTTTGGCACCGCAAAAGGAAGGATTTTTTGCACTCCGTTTATCATTTTTCCACTTAATGACTTATTCCATTCGAAATTTAAAATATTTGATCTGTTTCTATTTTTCCGATACATGTCTGTCTCTTTTCGTGCCTCTCAAAAAACACCAGCCGTTATTTTTTACAGCTTCGGCCGTTACTTCTCGAAGCAAAAAAGCGCCAGCGGCGTCGACGTCGACGCAGAAACAAGGCAGAATTCAGCTCGCAGTGACTGAGGTCGCGACCGCGCTGTTGTCAGCCGTCGGCCGACTTATATATGCATCTCTTTTACTCTTACACATGAATGCTTCGTCTCAAAAGGAGAGAGAGAGAAAGAGTGATGGGCGCTAGAGATGGGCAGGCACTGAAATTGTTTGACAAGACCCAAAACGGCACGAAAATGCACGCACGGTCCAGCACGAAATTTTTGATTATTTGAAAAAAACCTTTGTTAATATTAAACTCCAACAATGAATTCCAATTGCTTTCAAAAACGACCCACAATCGGCTATGGACTATGTGATCTTTTAGTTAATTTTTAAGGAAAATCTGTTCGTCTATTTTCATAAGCTAAAAGCTAAAAATAAAAGCGAACGCGGGGGAGTATTCTGGAAGAGCCCAGCGACACTTCTCATATGATACGATCTCCAATATATATAGAGATAATAATAATATCCACTTTTCTTAGAGAAAAAAAAACAATAAACACCTTCATGGATGGCCTAAATACTTACATCTCCTCCTGCTCCTCACAGTAGCCACACCCCCTCGTTCATACCTTCTGGAAACCGCTCCCACTCTTCCCCTCATGGAGAGGAGGGAGAGTTTGATGCATTGATGCTTCAGAGAGTCTGTTAATCCATTAGATGCATTGCATATTTCATTTGACATTTACGTATGATAGCACGAGAGCGTTAGAGCTGCTCGGGGACGCTTTTAAGCCGAGTACGAGAGATTGCGAGACGAAAGAATTCCGCTGCATGCGCATATGCGGTACCAAATGATCTTTGTTTAAAATATTTAAGCTGCTTGACCCGACAGGGGCAGTTAACGTACCTAATTCTATTGAGCTCTTAACGAAAACAATTTCACTCTTGGGCCTCCGCCTAATTGGTTTTTTTCAAGATATAAGGTCGGAGGAATTTTGGAGCGGCAGACTGGGAGCATTCTCCAGAGAGAATCGCAGCATTAAGAATTTAGCTTTTTGTTGAAGCGGGAGCGGCTGGCGGCTGAGAGCCGGAAAGCGGTAGCGGTGGTTCAGAGCCAGAAAGAGGTATGGGGCAAATTAAATTAGGTGGTTAAGGTCGGAGGAATTTTGAACAAATGAGTCGCAGACCGCACGTTGCCCCCATTTTATAGGCTGCGGACACGCGAAATTGAAGCAGCGCAGCGCTGCTGCAGACTCATGCGCAGGCGCAGCAGGCTCTCTGCCCGCTTTTCATTGGTTCTGCTCACCATGCCTTTGTACATGAATGCATGTGTATGTGTCTGGGCCTGGGTAAAACTGGCGATGACAGCAGTGCCTAGGGATGGACTTTTTCGGGAAAAAATAAGTGTATAGATACTTAGCCCAAATAGATATTCAATCACAGTAAGCGATCTGCGCGGCAAGTTCCGCTGGGCTCTGACTGGCACACCCATACAAAACAAGGAACTAGATATATGTATATGCGCTTTTGAAGTTCCTGCGCTGTTCACCATTCGACGATCTGAACACGTGGAAGAAGCGAATCGATAACAAAAGTTCTCATGAGTGAGTGAATAAAAAAGAGTTGTTCACTTAAGTGAGCAACTGAACATGTTCCTTCCAAGCTGTTCTTTTTTGCTCACTTGTTCTTTGTTGTTCAGTTGTTCATTTTTGTTCACTTGTTCTCTACTCACTTTTTGCGACATTTTGCTCCTCAAAGGGCATTTTGCGATCTGGCAGCTGTTGCTCATATTTGCGTTTACTTCACACTTTTTGTATTAAAAATTCAAAATGTCGCTAATTCGAAAGTATAGTGAAATTTGGAACCATCTGTACATGAATAGTGAACAACTGAGTGAGCAAGTCATCAACTGAGCAAGTGACTCACTTACTAAAAAAGAACAAGTGAACATGTTCACCAAAATGAGCAATGTTTACCCAACACTACTTTGCATTTGCTATTTGCAATCGACTAATTGTGCGCAAACGAAGTGAAATTAATTGCTGTGATTAATTTTATTATCAGTTAAGTGCAGTGTTTAAATAATTAATAATATGTGTTGTGAAACAAAAGGCAGAGTTGGAACACGGCATCCTGACCCAATGCATCATACAGGCCACCGGCGAACGGAGGTTCAACGGACAGGTGATGAGCAACCTGCTTTTGAAGATGAACTCGAAGCTGAACGGTATTAATCCAACGCTGAAGAGAGAATTTCGACCGCTTCGTGTCCTACAATAGCCGCCTCCGCAACTCCAATGAAAATTGTATATATATATGCATATGGTATAAATCTAAATATATACCTATAGGGGCAATATGTTTAAGCACAAAGAAGTACCATTAAAGAATACTTATAATTTAATTTATGAATTTTAGCAAAACGGAATAAAAGGCGAATTAATGAATTAGGTACCATTTGGAAATGGATAGCAGGCAGCCCTGATCACGACGACTTTTTGAAAATACAGAATAAAGTAAATTAATCAATTGAAAATAATAATAAACAATTTATAATAAATTACAAAGTTGTCAATGAAATTGAATTTCTCTCAAATTCATTAAAAAATGTCATCTTCAATGAAGAAACGATTCTGAGAAAGCACGAAACATTTAAGAATGGCGGCAGTTAACGTACCCAATTCTATTGAGCTCTCATACGAGTTGTAAGCAATCTTTGGCTTTCTAAGACGAAAACAATTTCAATCTTGGGCCTCCGCCTAATTGGTTTTTTTCAAGACATAAGGTCGGAGGAATTTTGGAGCGGCAGACTGGGAGCATTCTCCAGAGAGAATCGCAGCAGTAAGAATTTTAGCTTTTTGTTGAAGCGGGAGCGGCTGGCGGCTGAGAGCCGGAAAGCGGTAGCGGTGGTTCAGAGCCAGAAAGAGGTATGGGGCAAATTAAATTAGGTGGATAAGGTCGGAGGAATTTTGAACAAATGAGTCGCAGACCGCACGTTGCCCCCATTTTATAGGCTGCGGACACGCGAAATTGAAGCAGCGCAGCGCTGCTGCAGACTCATGCGCAGACGCAGCAGGCTCTCTGCCCGCTTTTCATTGGTTCTGCTCACCATTCCTTTGTATATGTATGCATGTGTATGTGTATGTGTCTGGGCCTGGGTAAATCTGGCGATGACAGCAGTGCCTAGGGATGGACTTTTTCGGGAAAAAATAAGTGTATAGATACTTAGCCCAAATAGATAATTATTGTAATGTGAAGTCATGATTTAAATATATGATGTATTTTAACATGTGTTGTTTATCCGCTCATTATATTCGTATAGTCTATATGAGAAAACTCATGCCAGCAATTCTGAAGCCTATACATGCAGCATAAAAAAACATAATATCACATATTTTGTTGGGTATTGCACGACTCATACAACTGCGCTGCTGGGTTCCTGTGACGCGCCGTGTCATGAACGGAACGTGACGCCCCCAGAGGCGAATGCATAAAACCCCGGAGCCGAAAACCCTGGGGCTGCTTACGAAAGTTCGTTGGATGACATATGCATTTAAATATTTTTGGAACATTGTGACCAATGTTGCCCCCAAGATTTATTTTGGTTTTGGTATTTTTATTTTTTTCGGTATTATTGCATTTTTGGCATTTCTGCATAAAACGGTCACCGGCTACACTGCAACTTGTAAACAAATTCGCGAATTTCGTTTAAAAACACAAAAAATCCCGAAAATGTTGGCCCTGCCTGATCCCGCTGCTGGAACCATACCCGACAAGGCGTGGCAGCCACATTTTGTGACCCTTGAAACGAGGCAAGTCCCGGCTAAAAAATTTCAGTGTAAAAATATAATAATTTCCTTTGCGTTTTTCCCGCTTTTTCGAACAGCATGGGCGAAATTACTGTAGAACTGTACTGGAAGCATGCCCCCAATACGTGCCGCAACTTTGCAGAGCTCTCTCGCCGGGGATACTACAACAATGTGGTTTTCCATCGCATCATTCGCGATTTCATGATTCAGGGCGGCGATCCCACGGGTACTGGACGCGGCGGCACCTCCATCTATGGCGCGGAATTCGGAGACGAGCTCCATGGCGACCTCAAGCACACGGGCGCTGGGATCCTATCGATGGCGAACAGCGGCCCAGATACGAATGGATCGCAGTTTTTCATCACATTGGCGCCCACGCAGTGGCTGGATGGAAAGCACACGATCTTCGGCAGGGTCTACACGGGCATGGAGGTGGTGAAGCGCATCGGAATGGTGGAGACGGACAAGAACGACAGGCCGGTGGATCCATTGAGGATCGTCAAGGCAAAGGTCGAGAAGCTCTGATAGTCGGATGCTCCCAAAAGGACAGTTCTTTGTTTTTGTAATGTTACTTTATGATTGGAATGGAATGTAATGACTAGAAAACACACAAATCCATGTTCGTTTTGCTTCGATCCTACATAATGCTGTCCAGCGTGTCCACCAGTCGCTTGATCTCCCTGCTGAAGGGACGAAAAGGAAGAGGCGTTGTAGGACATACAACCTTTAACGGTCTTCAGACGGACGACTCACATTCTTTGGCCCAATCGCTCTGTGGGCTTCATCGACTTGGTGATCTCCTCCGTTTTGGCCAGCAGCTGGTACTGGCATTTGATGTTCGCATCCAGCGTATCCGTCAGCTTGTTCACCGCATTCTTGTGCACCTCCACATTGTCGGCCGTGATCGAGGAGATCGAGTGCAGCAGATTGCCCAGGTTCTCTAGCAGATTGTCCACCGAGGTGGCCAGATACTGGGCCTCCAGCTCAATGTCGCTGAGCACGTTGCCATCCACCTCTGGGATATTCCGCGACTGGAGAAAGCGGCGCGTGAGGATACCTTCCCCTCCACCAGGGCCCATCGATGTGGAGGGCGTCGTATGCTCCGAGGAATAGTCCAAAGGCGTGCCAGCGCCAGCCCCCTCACGCAGCTTTTCTTCCAGATTGTGGGCCACGAAATGTCGCATTTCCCCGGACTCCACATACGGAGCATCTGCTTGGGGCGGTGAATCTATAGAAAACGTTGCTAAAGGAGATTAAGATTATCACTCACTGGTCTCCGACTTGCCCCGCATCTGGAGGGGCTCCCCGGAGCTGTCTTTGGAATTGCTGTCGTCATCGTCGCCCTCCGGCTGATCTTCCTCCTCGCCAGAGTCCAGATTCACGTAGCTGTCGTCCCCATCCTGGCCGGGAAGGCTGTTCGTATTAGCCGCCGTTGGGGTGATGTCCTGCAGCACGTGATCGGGTACTGCCCCCGGATATTGCGCCAGAAAGGGGATCTCTGTGTAGGATGAGGCGGGTGTGTCACTGCTCGTCCGCTGCGTGTGCTCCCCCTGCTCGTTCTCCTCCTCAGTGTAGCCATAGCGCGGGCGGATGGGTATGTCCTGGCTGCGGTGTGTCATGGTGCTTGTCCCAGGGGTCTGCCAGATGCAAAAGGTTGAAACAAAGAAATAGCGAAGACTTTTCGGAATAAAAACAAACTATTCGGCAGAGTGTGACCAGAGTCGGCGATGGCGAAAACGCAGCTGCATGCGGAATTGCGCCAATTTGAATATTGCGCAAACGAAAGTATCGCCGGAGTATCTATATCTGCCTTCTTGTTACATTGGATTCGTTTGCTCGGGTTGCACTTCCCGCTTGTGCACTAATATGTGCATGTCTATACAGATGAGGCCAAAATCGTATGTTTAACCATAGTTTTTATTATTTTTTGTTTTAGTTAACAATCACATTTAACAACAATTTCAAAATAAAACGCCGATAACTTCCGCTTATTGCACAAAAGTACCGATATTTTTTTCAACTATTACCCTGCGGATCGGTAATGCTCGTATGACACTACTCTTGAGCACCTCCATTCCAGTTTGGATGTTTAGTCGATCTGGTGTCATCGGAGGCGGCAGATATATACTCTTTGGTATATTTTGACGTCAATATTGAGTTGAGTTTACGGTATAACTTTCATCATTCATCAACCAATTTAATTTTCTTTGTCACTTGTCACGCATTTGGCTTCCAACAATATCTCTTTGGCGCGCACATCTCGTACCCAGTCGATAGTATCGATAGCCGGTTCATGTGACGTGCTATCTGTTTTTGGGACTTGCTCTATTTTCCGTGGTGGGATATCCTCTCGTCGAGGATTTTTGTTTTCGACCAATGAAAACTGATATCTTCCTTAAAAAAAATCGTTATCCGCAAAAATTTTTTTTTTTTTTTTACCTTTTTCGCTAAAACCTTTTTTAGGCAAAATCCAATTAAAGCAAGTATTTAAAATAAAAGAGTCAAGTAGAACACAGGTTCATTAATTGGATAAAGTTATGTGGGCATGGCTAAATGTTCTATCTAGCTAATAATATTCAACGGAACATCAAAATTGAGCAATATAGTTTCCAATCCTTGACGGAGAATTATTAACCCATTGTAAGCCAAGAGGGTGTTTCAATATTCTACCGAAAATAATGAAAACTGAATCATTTTAGCGCAGTTTAGATGAAAGATATCGTGGCTATTTTCTATGTAAAGAAGAAGGATAGGATGGATCTACAAGAATAACTTGCAAGCAGTATTACTTTCCGTCATTTACCCCAAGTCGTTGAATTGTTTAAAAAGAGGGGCTTAAGAGGGCAAAGCTCGTTTTTGTCATCGGTATATCAACAATCTCACATCCCTAGCCGACTGTAAATTTTTTTGAATTTTTGTTGCGCGAGGTTCGCGTCGCGCACGTTTCCCAAAGGCCATACGAAAATTGTAATTATTAAATGGCACATGTGTTTCCACCTGCGGAAGAGTTAATAATATTGCACCACCACCAAACGCCAGGCCGTAGGCGGCCAAAGTCGTGTTAAATGTATTTCGCGCGTTTTTGCCGCTAGCGCTTGAACGCCGCGTGCCGCACAGAATCCTGTTATATGTTTTTCGAATTTAACAAACAATTTTTTTTGTATGTGTACGTAATTGTGTGTGAGAGAGAAATAACACAAATGTTTCAATGTTATTGAAGCAAAAGTAAAGGAACCTAACGCAAATTTTACCTGTGTCCGCGTATACATGTACATGTTCATAAGTGTGCGCAAGTGTTGGCGTCGCTAATAAAAAGTGCATGTGAATAGAGAGATAAAGCAAGAGAAAGAAGAGTGCCACCGAAGTCAGCAAGGCAGATGGAAAATAGTTAATAAAATCCAACAAATAATTGGCAAATAAATATCCTTTCAAAGAGTGGAAAAACCATCCCCGAAGATAACGAAAACGCACACTCGCACACGCACACGCACACACACAGCCGAAAGAAGCAGCAGAAGAAGAAGAGAAGCAAAAACGAAGCCGACTGCAGTGCGTTGCACACTTGTGTGAGTGAGAAGGCGACAAATTGTGTCTGTTTCTTTGTCAGTGTATTGGTGGATGTGGAAGTGAAGCAAAAAGCAACAAAAAAAAGAGTGCTTTTTGCAAATATTGTATTTGCCGCCGGGGTACAAATTCCAATTGGAATACGAATAATTCTCCCCAACAGCCCCGCTGCGCCTGCGTGCCGTCGGATCGAAAAATGTAAGTTTTTTAATGGTCCATAAATTATGCTAGAAGTGCTATAAGCTTTTATGGTGGATCGCAAAAAAAAGAACAAAAAAGAAGAGAACTTTTTCTAAACTCTCCAAAAAGGAGAATGTTTCTTGCCAATGTGTGTGTTCTTGGTTTCCTCTTTGGCTGTTGTTCCTCTTTTGTGCATTTGGCTTTGCTTTGATTACCCTTTAAGGGGGACGCTATGACGATTTTCGCCACTCGGAGGGAAGGCAGCGAAGACCAAGATCAGCATTAACAGAAAAGAGGTGTTGCGGCATATAAATCCGAATCTCATATGTACATATATTAATTTTTACGATTTTCCAATGAAACTCCCATATCCATATTCTGCGATCGCTCCATAGGGTATCAAACACTTCGACCCAGACTCCCTTTCGGGGTTCTTTCTTCTATTTTGTTTGTGGCTCGCGGGCGCAACTCTTGTGTTCTTGACTTCTTTACCAGTTACGCTTATTCGCTCGCTTTGTGCTGTGCTTCTTTGTCTGGGCATTAACCATTCTCTCTCTCTCTCTCTCTCGCTCTCGCTCTGTCTTCTTCTGCTGACTTCTTTCTTGGTTTCTTTGGTTTTAAGTGCACGAGCAACAGCAGAAGCAAGAGAGTAATGTGTGATGCAGTCGGCAGAAGCAACGGCAAGTGTGTGTTAGAGGGAGTGCGCAAGATCGTTACATTTCTTGATTCTCCCACTCCCTCTGGCGCTCTGGCAATCTGCCGCTCTGCCGCTCTGTGCCCGGCCCCCCTTTCTAGTGCTTTCCTCCTTGCCATCTACATTTCAATTTCATTTCTTTTGCTTTTGATTTCGTGTTGGTATTTGTGTGCTTTTGCTATCTACCGTTATGTTTCGATTGCGATTTCGTAATAAATTTGCTGTGGGAGACGGACCGCCGACTGCGATAATATTTCGCTCGCTCTCATACTCTCTTTGCTGTGCGTTCGTTTACGTGTGTGTGTGTGTGTGTGTGTGCATATGCGTGGGTTGCGCTATTGATGGCTTTGGCAGTGCGAGTGCCAGTGCCGAGTGCGAGTGGGAGAGGGAGAAAGCATGTGACTGGAAAGAGTGTGACATAATTGCCCAAAGGATTTGTTATTGCTTTTCTCCCACTTCATTCATGGATTCCCCTCTCTACACTTTTCATAAACAGAATTTGAACAAGTGTTTCTCTCCGTCTTTCAAGTGCTGTTAGGGATTTGTACTGCATTCCACTTGAGGAGAGACAGAGAGCGAGGGAGTACCGTTCCAATTCCCACAGGCGACACTTGAGCACAAGATATGTTAAGCAGAGGGTAAGGAAGTGCTGAAGAGGCTACTGGCCGAGTGCCAGGATCCCCTCTACCTCGTCGGAAAAACATACCATGCCACATCCCCTCTGCTTCTGCTGCTGCTGCTCCTCTCCCCTGCACTCATCTTATTTATTGATTTCCATGCATTTTTCTCCCCCTTTTATGCGGAACTTGCTCTCACCCAATGGCGCACTGTGCCTCCCACTCCCACTGCCACTCGCGAGTGACCTGCTGACCCCAACAGACAAACGTTTTCCCCCATTTCCCAGCCACCCCCCGTCCCGCTGCCTCCCTCTGCCCCCTCTTCTCTGTGCGCCTTTGGGGCGGGGTTAAGGCGATGCCTTGGAGCAGATTAAATGCGCGCGTCTTAATGCGATTTGCATTCGTCGTATATTTCCTTTTCCCCTCCACCTCTCCCCCTCCACCTACTGCCCACATTCCGTGGCTCGTTTGGGGTCAGGCGCCTGGGAAATCTAATTGAGGAAATTCATATTATTTTTCATGCGGCCGCTCTTTTGCTCTTTCGTTTTGGCTGCATTTCATTTTCCCTTGCCACCCGACCCCGGCACCGACCCCAAAGTGTTTCTTCTCTCTCTCTCTCTCTCTCTCTCTCCCCGCTCACGTGCCGGGGGCATCACCGCCCGACCCGCCGACCCGCCTGGGTCTGTGCCCCGTTCCAGGGTCCAATCCATGTCCATATGCGTGGATAATCCGCAGGCAGCTCTTATACACCCACCCGCTCTTCTACGGCTCTTTCTCTTCCTCTTCCCGTACTCCCTTTTGGCCGCCTCCTCCTTCTTGGCTTTTAAGATAAGCGTGTTAATGGCTCATTAGCGGTGGGGGCGGATCTTTTGGCCATAGTTTAAAGCCAAATTGCCTAACCGAAACGAAAATTAACGAGTTTTAGCGCGCGAACCACCCCGCTACCCCCCACCCCCCCGCGTCCCCCATAGAAATATCAAAAATCATCCAAGAGGAAGTCGAACATGTACTAAAATGATTATTGAAATCTTTTCCACTTCGATTAATGGACGAATAATGAAAGAGCACCGAACCTCCTAACTGTTTTCTGTTTTCTGTTTTTTTTTGGTGAAAATTAAGGTCAGAAAAACAGAATTCGATTCCAATAATCACTTGGAGTGTGTTTTTCTTTTCGTTTTTGTGCTTTTTGGGCCGATAAATGGGAGCATGGGATAAGAGGGAAAACTTTTGTCAGATCATCTCGAAGAATTTCCTGCTTTTGAATGATTCTCCAAAAAAAAAGGGAGAAATCATTGAATTCTTTGGATTATTTTCGAATGATTTCGGTTTATCGATGGAAAGCTTTTTCCAAGGGAAAGCAGATGTAAGGATAAACAGGAAGATGGCAATTATCAATCTCCCCTCTCTCTCCCTCTCCCTCTCTCTCTGTCTGTGTCGCTTCCCCTCTCCATGGCCACAACTCACCCTTTTGGGATTATTTGGGGTGTTTATTCTAGTTCTTCCTTTCATCCCTCTGACTCTGCCGTGGCCCTGCAACTGTTATACTGCCTGGCCCACTGTTATAATTTGCCTTTTGTGTGCCTTCTGTGCCGTATAACACATTCGAATAGCCAGCATGAGATCACCACCCCCCCCAACCGCCATCTCTTCCTGCTCCCCCTCCTCCTCCCCCTCCATCAGCGATAGATGGATCTTTTCATTAACTGTTTCATGTCGTAACTCCGTTCCCTCTTCCTCCTCCTCCTCCTCCTCCTCCTCCACGAAACGAATGAAGAACTTTTCACATAAACAAATGCACAAAATTTGAGACTCTCTGAAGATTTCATCAACATTTTATTGCGGAAATGTTTCCCCACTCCTCCACTGTGATCTCTCCACTCGCCACAGCGGAGAGTTCTACACTCGGCTATCTCCCTTCCACTTGTGCTCTCTCCTGCTCTTCCTCTCTCCTGCTCTTCCATCAAGTGCTTGCCATTTCGCAATCCTCGAATCGAAGTGCTGCAATCTGTTCTTCTTTCAGCTATCAAAAACACCTCCCCTCTCCCCTCCTCTCCTCCGTTCCACTCCGTTCTGCTTCCACTCCATTAGACACTTGTTCTTGTTCTCATTTGTGTGCGTGTGTGCGTGTGTCTGTGTGTGTGTGTGCCAATATGTAGATGGGATATGACCCCGTTTTTGATTGTGTTTATAAGAAGAAAACAAAACAGTTTTACACAGAAAGAGCGGTGTGGCGGGGCATTGGGCAGAAAGGGGTGCGGGTGGGAGGGGGGGGGGGGGGGGGGGGGGGGGGCACCACCTGACCTACTGGAAGGTGTAAAATGAAAAGCGAAAAGTGTTGCAGCCCCTCCCCCGCCTTGCAATTGATGTTTCCATTGTTTTTGTAGTTTTTTTTTGCTTTTTTTTTGGGTTGTGGGGAAATCTGTTTCTCTTTTTTTTGAGCTTTTCGTTGATTTCTTGATTGATTTTTTTGCTGTTTTTTTGTTTTTGTTTTGATTGCAGCTAATTATTCAATCTGATTGATGTCGGAATCAATCATTAGTGCATATTTTAATTAATTAATTTTCTTCCCCCTTCCCCCCGCAGCAGTCCAAATATTGAACTCCCCGCCCTCCCCCGCCCCCTCCACCGCCCTCTTTCGATTTGAATTTTTCTTTCATTTTTTTGTAGTTTTAGTTTTTTCCTCCCAAAAGAAAATCTTTATTTTCCCGCCTAACGATGTCCGCATTGTTTGCAGCTCATTAATTTTCCAAAAGGTTTTCTCTCTCCCCCTTTGCCCCCTCCCCTCCCCCCCCCACTCTTGCTCTTTTGATTTTTTATCTGCATTTCCGCATCGGGAGTTTTTCTTTTCGGTGTCTGTTGTTGTTGTTGTTGTTGTTGTTTCTCTCATCTTCTTTTGACGCACACGAAACATGCAACAAACAGTTGCATGTTTTCTGGTGGCAGCAACAGCTGCGAATGGGGGGGGGGGGGGGAGTACGCCCCCACAAATGATGTCCCACAAATCTGTCGAGGAAAATCTCTATTGGCCACTGTGTCAGCGTCAGCGGCAGGGGCAGGGGGGAGGGGCCGAAAAGGCCACTCATTAAAAGGCTGCAAATTATGGATTCCACTCTTCCATGGAACCCCATTTAGAGGACTATCTGTGTGTGTGTGTGTGTGTGTGCTGGTTGTTTTTTTGCATTTCAATTTAACCTTGAAATCTGTATAAAAAAACAATCAGCATTAACATTAAACATTCATTTGGAAACCGGTTCAAAACACACGCTTTTCGTTGTTCGAATAAATAGTTTCGCATATTTTTTTTTTGTCAGCGTCTCTCCGGGCTCCGAGTGGAGTTCCGGAGGAGTGGCCGGTCGGCGGGGGGTGGGGGGATCTAAGCGGCTTAAGATTCTCTAGTTTCTCTCCACTTTGCCACATCTGCCGTCTGCCAGCTCATTAAGACTGGAATTTGGGACTAACATTTAGTAGCATTTAGGGGGAATATTTTTGATTATTTTGGGGACCGCTAACCGCTTCCTGGGGTGGCCAGAGAATCCGAAAGGAATGCTGGATAATTCCTAAAATTTCCCCATGCAATTCTACAATCCTTTAGAAGGGTTCCTTCTGTTTTTCGTGCTCTTGGGTGAAAAAAACCATCGTAAATCGTAAAGCCATCGATAAACTTTGATCCCCCGTTGGCCCTACCCTCGGATAACCCCCCATCACCC